AGACCTTATTTTTAAAATATATTCCTTTTGTTTCATGTGTTTAATTTCCTAACTTTCAGATTTATTATTTATTTTTAAAAACCACATCTTCAGGGCCGGGTACCAGTGGCTCATACCTGTAATTCTAGCTATTTGGGAGGCTGAGATCTGAGGTTTGCGGTTCAAAGCCAGCCCAGGCAGGAAAGACCAAGAGACTCTTATCTCCAATAAACCATTCAGAAAACCGGAAGTGGCACTTTGGCTTAAGTAGTAGAGAAAATGTCCATCAAAGAAGGGATTCAAATAAAGAACAAAGGATACAATCTATCCCTATTTGCGAATACTATCTAAAGAACCATATAGGTTTCATTCCCAAGCCAATAGTGCAGATACTACTTTGATAAGACAGCCAGATATGGAATCAACCCACAAAAATCAGTTGCTTTTTTGTACATCAACAATGAGAATATAGAGAGGAAAATCAGAAAAACAATCCCTTTTGTAATATTCTTTAAAAATATCTAGAAGTAAATGAACCGAAGGTTTAAGGGGCCTCTAAATGTAAACTATAACTCTTTTTTTGTTTTTTTTTTATTGTGAGAATACCGTACAGAGGAGTTAGAATTACTTGGACTAGATAACGAGTACATTTCTTATCAAGCATTGTAGCCTCCTCTTTGTTTCCCCTTCCCATCCCTTCCCATACTCCTCCCACCTCCCCCCACCCGATCCTCCCCCCCCAACCAAGTTGTAAAGTTCATTTTTCAACATAACGACTTGTACATCTCATTGTTGCAATGGGTCCACCTGTATTCCTAGTTAAACGATTTGTTTTTGCCCTTCCCCTCCATAAATTATACCAACATCAAATACAGTGAAAGCAGGGGTTATACCATGGGGGAGGGACATACAAAGCAACATAGAAATCAACTTATAAATATGTTAGAAGCGATTGCATGAAAGAAAAAAGACATTTGAATACTTATCTTGGGGTTCATTCCCCAAACATCAACTTATCTGACCTTTTCTGCTTGTCTCAGACATATACTAGATATTGCAAATAAGGGAAACCATGGGACCTATGTTTCTTTGAGCCTGGCTTACTTCACTTAATATAATTTTTTCCAAGTCTTTCCATTTCCTAACAAATGGGGCAATGTCATTCTTTCTGATGGAGGCATAG